TACATTTTAACATATTCGTATTATATGTTTAACAATTATGCTAACTCTAATTGGAATGAGGTTCGAACCTAAGACCTTTCTTATAGAAATTAATGAGTAAGTTAAGAATAATAAATAGTTAACGGAATATTCCGTTAATGAAGTTTATACTAACGGAATTTAAGATTATTTAAGGAAAGAAAATAATATAATAAAGGGTAAATAAGGAAGATCATTAAAAATACTAAAATCAAAATACTATGAACCATTCATTTTAAGAAACAAGTAGTACCGACATTTTTTTGTTCCAGTTAAGGGCCTAACATTATTGGCTCTTATACCATTCATTCATTCATTTTAAGAAACAAGTAGTACCGACATTTTTTTTTTTGTTCCAGTTAAGGGCCTAACATTATTGGCTCTTATTAGAATTGTAGATATAAATAATAATTTAGTAGTTACAACAAAAAATAATACATATGCATTTCTTTAATTTAGAATTATGTGTCCACAATGCCTTTATTCAAAAAAAAAAATTATTCATTATCAATCAATTAAATAAGAGAAATAATTTACCAGGACTATGTGGTCTAATGGTATCTGGGTTGGACTTCCATTTGGAAGATTTTGAGTTCAAGCCTCAGTGGAGGCGTTATTGGTTCTTTGTGTTTCAGTAGGTTGAGAAAGTATATGAACAGATACTACAATGTAATAGAGCCAGTAACTTTCAAAAAAAAAAATAAGAGAAATAATTTTATTAGTTATATTGTCTTTATTTTTCTTCAATATAAAAATTCTTTATATTCAAATTTATTAATTGATTATATTCGCTACATTATCCTTACAATGTCTTTATTCAGTGAAAAAAAAATTTATTAATTATCAATAAATTAATTAAAAGAAATATTTTCATTAGTTATATTGTCTTTATTTTTCTCAAATGTAAAAATTTTTATATTCAAATTCATCAATTGATTATATTCACTACATTATCTATTATCTTTTTTGTGCACTATTTTTCTAATTAAATATCAAAGTTATAATACAAAATAATGCTATATATATTTATTTACCAAGTATTTTATTAATACCATAAAAAAATTAAAAAAATATAATTAATAATGTCAACCATATTAACTACTTGAGAGATTTTGTGACAACGAGAGTATTCAAATCACACAACAAATTGAAGTGAGAACTACCTCGCAATGTCCTTGTTTGACAATCAGCAGTTAGCGGTTAACGTTAACGGATTTGACCAGCGAATTTATTTAATTATTAACATTGAGTAGAAAAAATGACCGCCAAATTATTAAATCAAATGAATGGTTCATATTGTTCAGGTTTTAATTTTTTCTTTTAAGATTTTCTAATTTACCCTTAATTATATGATTATCCATTTAACTTTTCCGTTAATTCACCGTTAGTCTAATTCTAATATTAAAGTCTAATATAGAATTATAACTACACCATTAATCTAATTCTAATATTAAAGTCTTAATAGAACTTAACCACAAATCCTAATGTCGGAATCTCCTCAAACAATATTAGTATATATTTAATATTTTATGTCCTAATTTTTATTTGTTCTCCCTTATGTCCCGTATTTGGTTTCAACGATACCTATACAATTATTTTATTGACAATTATAATCAATCTTGACTATATTATCTTGCATTTGTAAACTTAGAATTACCTATTTAACCCGCACGGGCTTAGCTCAATGGTTTAGTGGGTAGTATTTGGGAGAAGAGACGAAGGTTTGAACCTCGGCGGCGGCAGTGCGGGAATTATGTCCAAAGTGGGCAGATTCCTTGTGCGTATCAGCATTTGGCCCTGTCTGCTGAACCATTGAGTCACCGTGATTTATAACTTCCCACAATGCCCTGTCGGGTCGGAGTGTGGGGGCCCTTGGGGTTGGGGACTCAACCTTTGGGAGAAGAATTACCTATTTAAATACGCAAATTCAATCTTCAATTATCTATGCATGAACAATTTCAATATAATCCTGTCTTAATATACTTTAAAGTACTTATTTAAAAAAAAAAGCATTGGGCATTATCCCAATCGCGCAATGCGCGTAAAAAACTAATATATAGATATAGATAGATTATAATCAAATCTTTTAATAATTACAAAATTCATTATTCATTTACTCATTTACTCAATTATTCAATTACGAAGAGACTCCTTCTACTTAAACTTATTATTTATTATTATTATTACCAAGTATTTAATTCTCAATTACAATGTTTGAAACAAACACACTTAAAATTGACCTCCTCAAAATATATAAAATTAGGATTATATTGAGCAATAATAATAAAAAAAAGACTTACTTTTACCTAACATTGGTCTCTATTCTCACCAATTTCAATTGTTGTTTAAAAATTATGATTTGCGTTATTAGTGAACGTATATGATTTGTTTGATACAATATATGAGATTTGATTATATAAAATATTTTGAGGGTACTTATAATGATGTGAATATTCTAGAGAAAAACACTTCCTAAGATGTTTTTCTTTAAAAAAAAATACACTAGGGCATAGGATTATTGTTTAAATCTTTTATTTTTGTGTTATTTTTGTACTAAAATGATTTAGGCTTTGTTTGGTAAAATAGTTAGCCTATAGACTAATTTTGACTTATTTGACCACTATTAGCTGTTTGACTTAGTTAAAAAAAAAAAAAAAACAATATAAGTGTTTGGTTAATTAGCTTTTTGTAACTCCAAAATGCTAAAATTCAAAAAGCTACTCAAAATAATTTTTTCAATTAGCTTTTTGAGAAAAAGAAATTATACCAAACAGCTATCAGCTAATAATTAATTTACCAAGCACCTTACTACAATCAGCCAATGTTAACTAGTTATATCCTCTAATTAACCTAATCAGCTAACAACCATTTACCAAACAGGACCTTAATTTTTTACATTTTAAATGATCAATGAAAGAATCAAACTATCAAAGCTAACAAAATTTACTCTAGTTCTATAATTTTCCCCGTTCTTTTTTCAAAGATTTTTGTTAATGTTGATGCAGACAATTTACTCAAATTCCTGCTGCCCTATGCTTATAAGTACGCATTGTAGTGATCCATGGAATACATTGATCGCGGTCCTGTCATCTATTAACTTGACTTCAATAATCTCATTCCTCCATCTAAGGAGGCATTGTGATAAGAGCATCCATTGTAGTAGTTTTTAGGGAGATTTTCGCAGAGAAAAAACTAACACATGGTGAAATGAATTGATGTAGGAGCTAATTTTTAGTAAGTTCTTTCTCATTTTTTTTGCAGTTTTTGCAGGAAAGAAGAAAATTAAAAATAAAAAATAAAAAAATTGAGCTAAAAGTCAGAGTGCCGAGATGGCGGCACTCTGACTTTTAGCTCATATTTTTAAAAATAAAAATAACAAATGCTAGAAACGTTTTTTTTTTCTCTCCTATTTTTTTTTTTTTCTATCCTACATGACAATCTAAAAAATTGTCTAAAAATTCCACTATTATGAATGCTCAGCTCTAATGGTTCTACTTCTTTTTGCTTGACCGCATTGAGGTGAGTAAATATTTTCTTCATTATCTTGGAAGGGCAAATCCCTAGACAAAGTGGTTGGTTAACTCTACAAGATTGTTGATTGACTCGGACTCCGAAGTTTGAACCACTTTGAGCATCTCCAACCTAAATATCACACCAAAACACCAAAGCATCAAAAATCTCCCTTAAATGTCACATCAAAGAGAATATTCTCTACACCAAATTTTATTCATCTCCAACTCATTACACCAAAACACCAAAATTTCCACCAAATGTCACATCAAATGTTATTCAACACTAAAATAATATGATTTCTCTAATTTTAATTTTTTATTAATTCAAATTTAATTACTTTAATACAAAATATATTTTGTGATGTAAATAATAAATTTTTAGTAAAATCATTTTTATGTTGTTGTTATGTTTTATTTATTTTAATTTGTAATTAATTTATATTCAATATTAGTCTTGTTTTAATCGTCTTGATGATATCTTTCAAATGATATAATTTATTTATAATAATATACTATTTATATTTAAGTATTTAACAAAATATATAAGTACATAAAAACAAAATAAATGATTAACAAATTAAAGCAGGGGCAAAACCGAGATTAAATATACTTCTAGAAATTGCTGAACAATGTCGCGCCATATATGGCGCAACGCTGTTCATCAACGCCAAAACTTTTGGCGTTTTTCCGCTAAGATGCTGCACACGTTAGAGACGTTTGTTTTGCTGCGATGGTGAGATGAGGCTAATATTTGCAATTTTGAAGACACCTTGGAGATGGCCTTAGTAGCTCAACTAGTTATTAAAGTAGATAAAAGCTTGTGTACCCTGTTGGGACCTAGATCAGTGGAGTTTGCTCCTAATCAAGAATGTTAGCTAGGTTGAGATCAACCGGTCAAAAATGTTAGCTAGGTTGAGATCAACCGGTTAACAGATACGGGAATGTTCATCATATGCAACATTCCTCTCTTATTAAACCAAAATGGTTGCTTGAAATTATCAATTTGGTTATAAGTAAACTGCCTAAAAGCTAAACAAACAGAGGACCAAATTGGTTAAAATTTTTAAAATTGATAACAAAAATAGTTAAGGATCAAATTAATAATTTTGCAGTCAATGAACTATTTCCGCAATTAACTCTAATGTATATAGGTAATTTTTAGTACACAAAGTTCTGTTAGAGTTCATGAGGTCAGAGTGCTTTAAACATGTCAAGAAATACTAAGGATATTATTCTGACGAAAAATTTCTCTTCTTAAAGTAAGCTAGCTAGCTTCTATAACAGTGAACCAAGGAACACATGACAAAATTCAAGGTGATAAGGGGTACGTGACACTTGCCTACAGGTTAGTTAAGTCGGTCATGCCACGTGTTGATGTTAAAGATACTCGAATAAACGGCTAAGACAATGCTTCACATGCTGCTACATTACTTGCAAATACATCATTATACGATCTCAATCACAAAACCATTTGCAGACAACATATTAATATTCTTATTTGAGTTCCCAATTTATCCAAAGCTACATGCACACAAACATGCCATTAACAGGCAAACTAAAAGCTTCCATACAGCTTAAAAATGCAAAAACAAAAAATTTCTTCTCATGCCACATATCAGGGTAAATTACCATTGTTCACTTTATTTTTTCATAAACCTGCAGATAAAGATAGAATTGGCACTTAAAAAACTCCCCTCACTTTGTCCACCAAAGAAGGAAGTCCTTGCGCCGGTTGATCTTTTTCTGCAGTTGGAGAAGTCCGTAAAGTAGGGCCTCTGCAGTGGGCGGGCAGCCAGGGACATATATGTCAACTGGAACAATCCTGTCACAACCTCGGACAACAGAATATGAGTAATGGTAGTAGCCTCCACCATTTGCACAGCTTCCCATTGAGATCACCCACCTAGGCTCCGGCATTTGATCATAGACTCTACAAGTAGATTTCACAATGTTTAGAATCACTTCCAAACAGTAAATCCTTGGCAACACGGTTAATAACACCTAATATCATTGTTAACCCGATATTTTAGGTTACAGGTGTAAGTATAAGGGCTAAACCACTAATTAACAAAAAACGCACAAACATTGCCTCAATTCATCGCATTAACAATATACTAATATAGTGTTTACATAATCACTAATTGAGGTACAAATCTATATCTACATAGACTACATATTATACTGAAGTAACACCAAATTTTCACCAGTTGTCAGCAAGTCTGAGAAGTAATACTCTTAACAACATTTACACAATTACTTCAGTGGTACTAAGGAAAAATCAAATGCTTTGAAAATTTACAACAAACCCAAGAATTAACACTCTTAAAATACTTTTATGCCTTAAGTAAACATCTTCTGAACTCTGAAGTTAATTAGAAAAGTATTGAGTAGACAAATGAGTAATGACTTATTATAAATGACGTTCTGGGACCAATGTCAACAATTCATTTTTCAATTATAGAATAATATCCTTTTATTTGAATTACTCTGTATTTTCACATGAAGTGGATATCTTATATTCAAGTTTTTAAAAGCTAAAAAAGGATATCCTCTGTGTGCAATGCTTTTCCAATTTTTTTTTTAATAAAAAGAGGAATATCTCATTGAAATGTTGACATTTAAATAGTTAAAATAAATTACTAAAAATCCAAGTATATTAACACTAACAATTTTAAATCTTAAAAGTAAATTTTAAAATACTTATAGAGCTGTGTGCACTGTTCAGGACTTCAGGTATTGTTCTAGTTTAATATAATAACAATAATCTTATATTGTTAGAACACATGCCAACTTCCAAATAGTTTCCAACCACTTCCCTTTTCTTTCAGACTTGGTTAGATATTCTAAAATGGCCTTCTTGTGGTCTTACAAAATGTTTCAATACAAAAAGCACAAGAAAAGAAAAAAGAATAACAAAACAAAACAAAAAGCAACAAAATAGCTCATTTATTATGATAGTTAATGCTATTTTAAGTTTGTACCTCTATCCGTAATTATTTAAAGGTCAAGCCATTATTGTGAATTTTGGGCAGTGTTTGTGATATACCAATTATGTACACACATACATGCACATCGTAGATAAATAATACTTCAAGAAATATATTTTTCCTTATATTCATTGTTTCAGTGTTATTTAATACGTGAGTCCACATCGGTTTAGAAAAGGAATGAACATATCTGAGGACATGAGAAATGGACATTTCACCAATTTTCAGAGGAATGAACATCAGGCCATATTATCGTGTTTAATGAATCTGTGAAAAAGTCGGGATACAGAGCCTCTAATTCATTTTTGCATACAAGCTACAGAATGGAATAAATATCTGAAATATTAATTTCATATCACATCCCTTCCTGAATGTTATGTTAAGAGCACCCCAATAATATAACATGGTCCATATATCATAACAACAGCAACAGAGTGCAGAAGGCTAAAACAATCTTATGCACCAAGGGTGTGTTTGGTTCATGGGGTTAGACACAAGGAATGGGAATGAAAGTCGTACACATTGTTTGGTTGGCAACTTTTTAAAACACAGGTATAAGATTTTATTATCACTATAATTACAAAACCCATTACCTAATTTAAATTAGATATCATTCCATTAATTTAGCCTTATCCCTCCTCATTTCATGGCCTCCTCACTCATCTCTCCTCAATCCATCGACTTCCTCACTGCATTGCCTACTCATTTCATCATCACTCTAAAGATCAATTGCCTTGATTTTTTTTTTTTTTGTTTTTGTTTTTTTTGTTTTTTTTTTTTTTTTTTTTTTTTTTGTATTTTAAAACCTTTATTCCGATTGTAAGGACATACATAATACATAACCAAACATCAATATTGGTAATCATTCAAATTCCACCCTACCACCAAACATGCAAAATACTTTCACCAAAACCCATTCCAATTACCAAATATTTGATTCCCATTCCGATTCATATTCTCATGTTCGAACCAAACACCCTAAATTCAAATGTGCCTATAGATGTGGCAGACTGTTCTAATTCTTAAGCATATAAAGAAACTATGATTAATAGCATGGAGAAATACTGCAGTATTTACTACCAAAGAAGAATATAGGATTGAGAAAAAGAACTATGCAACATTAGAAGAAGGAAGAAATCCATTATTGCTCAAATGCCCTCTCACCCAGAGGCCACACTCTCACCCCCAAAGGCACACACTTGGGTTGGGTTAGTATATAGAGGTAAATAATTTGTGTTATGAGCCTGTATTGAGGGAAGACTTCATATGCTTAATAAATTAAATGCCTAAATTCCGACTACACCTTAAAATTCCTTGAATCTTCAATGCTCCAAGCATAAGAACATCAATAATCAGAAACCAATGCCCTAATTTAGCTAATTTAGAAATTAAAAGACACCACTGAGAATCAATCACCCAAACAGCCAAGCAAAATACAGAAGCCATATATATGTATATTTGTGAGTGCATATAGAGAAAGAGAGAGAGATGAAATTAGGGCATTGAAAGACGCACTTGCGAAGAGCAGGAGCCATCTTGTTGGTGAGAGTGCCGGCAACGATCATGCAATCGGACTGCCTGGGGCTGGGCCTGAAAATTATACCGAACCGGTCGAGATCATAGCGCGCAGCGCCGGTGTGCATCATCTCGACGGCGCAGCAGGCTAGGCCGAAGGTCATGGGCCAGATGGATCCGCGGCGCGCCCAGTTCATCAGATCATCGACTTTCGAGATGACGAACTCGGCCGTCTTGGATAGGCCAGGCGAAGAAGTGGACGGCGGGGGAGGGCGCGCGTAGGTCGTCGGAGTGGACGAGGTTTGCTGGGACAGGGCCGGGAGAGTGGTGTGGATCGTTGCTGCCCTTTGAATAAACGGCGCCGTTTGGGTCAGCCAGCGGGCGTTCCTAGCTAGGAGAGCCATTTTTTCCGATGCGAATTTGCGTTCCCACGACACCGGAGATCCGAATAGAGGAGAGAGTTCTGCTGGCAATGGGGAAAATATAACTGAAGAAGAAGATTAGAATACAGCGCGATTAGGTTGCAAAAATGGATCGGGTCGGGCCGAGATCAACTGGCCCACCCACATTAAATCCAACGGTTGTACTAGGCAATAGTTATGCTGTGCAAAGGTGTGCACCATTTGCAAAACGACGTCGTTTTGACTAAAAACGCGCGTCCTATTTAAAATAAAAAATCAGTTTCGATTCCCCTCAACAACATTATTGTGGATATATAGTTATGAATTATTGTAGATATATAGTTATTAATTTGTGGATATATAGTTATTAATTTGTGGATATAGTTATGAATATTTAGTTCATTCATTGTGGATATTTAGTTCATTCATTGTGGATTTTGTGTTATTCATTCACTGTGGATATATAGTTATGAATTTGTGGATATATAATTCAAATTATGCACAAAAAATGCTATTGCCGAAAATCGAACCTGAATTTTTTTTTTTTTAAGTGGGATGCATGTTTTTAGTCAAAACGACGTCGTTTTTGCAACTGGTGCACACGGTTGTACAGCATAATTTGCGTGTACTAGGGGTGTACATTTCAGTTGGAGTTATCTGAATCTAACTGAAAACTAATCGAATAGTTAGATTTTGATTTATTATTAAAATTAATCGGCTCTCTATTCTATAAACATGTTTTGGTTCGGTTCAGTTAAAAATTGAATCGAATCGAAAAGTCGAATGATTTTTTTAATATATATTAAATAATATATATTTTATTTATACCAAATTGATTTTATATTTATTAATTTACCCAAATAGATATACTAAATCCCTAATTCTATAATCCAAATTTTCACAATTGTTCTTTGTTTTTATTTTTTTCTCATCGAGTTTGCGACATTATTATCTGACATCGGGCGAAAGTGTTTTGACTTATTTTAGATTGAAAATTTTGAAATATGCATTGCGGACTTGTTGTTTTGATTTTTAAATTCAAATTATTATATGCGTAAGAGAACTGGGAAATGTTTGGGCTCTCAAACCGAACCGAACTAAATCCAAGCTGAAACTGAATTATTTCAAATTGAACCAAAATCAAACCGAACTAAAATTTGAAACCAACTGATTTTGCTTTTTCAAAACTGAAAAAATCGAAACTTTAAAAAAAAAAAATTGAAAACTGAAACGTCCACCCCTAGATTATACCATGGAGCAGGGTAATGTAGACCCTACTTTAAAACAACATTCAGATTATATGTCAATATTATGAATCTTCAGTTAATAAATTATATACATACTATAATTAACATATTATGTTCATGCAATTATTGACATATTATGTACATGCAGTTAATAAATTATGTATTTATGATAATTATTAACATATCTACCTTATTTTATTTATAAGTACTAGTCGCGGGCACGCGCTTTGCGTGAAACGTCATGCCCAACAATCAATTAGCATGTTCTAATTTTTTATTTTTTATTTTTAAAACGAGTATGTTCTTATTTTTAAATATAATATATATAGTATATATAGTTTTTAATAATTGTTATAGGACAAAATAAATAAGCATACATAAATAAGTTATTTAGATACCAATATGATATACAAGAATTGAATTAGGAACGTGCGGGAGGACATTAGATTTGGTTTTTAGGGAGAGAATGAAGATGTTAGCTAGAATAATGTAGTGGTTTTCTAAAAAAAAAAATATTAAAATAAAAGAATGCAGTGTTAGAATGATGGAGAAAAAAGAAGACAAAGATTACATCAAGGCAAAGAGGAAGAAGACAAAAAAAGTAATGGTAAAGTTGTTATTTCTTTAAAAATTGAGGGCAATTAAAATGAAAAGGAATAAGGATCAAATAGGCCATCACAGGATAATGCAATTAGGCCACTGAACCTAAAAAACCAACAATTAGGTCCCTAAACTAACCAATTTCAAACAATTCTTCTAATTTCAAGGTTTCCAACATGTCAACAGGTCATCCTCTCAAATTAATTATTTTAAAAAAATAAATTTTAGAAAATAATTAATTTTAAATTTTGTTAAAAAAAAAACAGACTCCCGCCGGAGACAACCGTCTCCGGCCAGTCCTGTTTTATTTATTTATTTAAATTTAAATAATTAATTTTAAAAGTTTATTTTTAAAAAATAATTAATTTGGAAGGATGACCTGTTGACCTGTTGGAAACCTTCAAATTGGAAGAATTGTTTGAAATTGATTAGTTTAAGGACCCAATTGTTAGTTTTTTAGGTTCAGTGGCCTAATTGAATTATTGTGTGCAGTTGGATGGCTTATTTGACCCTTATTCCAAATGAAAAAGTAAATCAAAAATTAGATCAAAAATTTCATCCATTAGATTTGAAATCAATGGTAAGTAAGAGATGCCATTTTTTAGGGACAAATGGCAATTCTCAAATCTATATATATATATATATATATATATATATATATATATATATATATATATATATATATATATATATATATATATATATATATATATATATATATATATAATTAAAATCCTTCATACATGGGTTAATTAATATTAAAAGCATTAAATATTCCGTGTGATTTCCTAGAGTAAAAAAAATAATTAAAGAATTAAATATAGTAATAATTAAGAATTTGCTATTTAAACTCACCATTCTGCTAGATTCAAAGTTGTCACCTACAAACATATTTTTGCTTTTGTACTCTCCTTTTTACACAGATTTTCAATGGCAGCTGAATTTCACTCTGAGATTGTTGGTAATCAACTTCGTGTAGCACTGCGGTGGAATACCATTAGGTTTCGAGTGCTTCGTGTTGTTCGTCTTCCAGAAACAAAAGGTTCTCAAACCATTCAATCTATAGAGTGTGTAGTACATGATGTAGAGGTATTTTTTTTTACTGTAATATAAATTCTAATATTTTATATTTCTAAAATTTACTGTTGATGCATATGTTTTTTTTTTTTTATTAATAATTTCAGAGAACTTTTATACATATGCATATTCCACAATTGTATGAACAAAAGTGGTTTAACAAATTTGAAGAAGGCAAAGTTTATCTAATCAATAGATTTGACGTGATTTATAATGCCTATAAAAACAAAATTTCTGCTCTCAGGTATATGTTGATGTTTTGTGATAGAACTTGTATATAAATATAAGCGAGATAAGGGAGATATATATATATATATATATATATATATATATATATATATATATATATATAAAATATAATATAATATAATATAATATAATAATTGTAAGAACATAATTAAATGTTATTTTGGAACAGAATTCAAAATCAAGGTCCACTCTTGTCATAATTTGCCCATTAAATCATTGATTTGATTGGTGTTTAGTTAGATTCCTTGTGTGGCGATGCAGGCAGGCAGCTAAACGAATTGACGAATGCACTACATTGCGCCACGTTTGTTAGTTAAAGAGGGGTGAAATACAACCCAGCACAACATTGATCAATTGTTATTCTATACACCCCTCCCAAAATAACGGTCGTTTTGTTAATTTCAAGTATAAAATTTTGTGCATTCTATTATATAATTCTGTATATTTTAAACATGAGAATTTTTAGTTATAAAATTCTATGTTTACAGGTATAAAATTCTGTATTTTCATATATAAAATTCTGTACATTTTATTATATAATTTTGTACATTCAAAAACATGGATTTTTTTTTAATTTTATAAAAAAGAGTTAAGAGTTTATGTGTATTATGTTAACAGTTTATGTTTAATATGTATTATGTTAGATTATGTGTATTATCCTTTCAAAAAGATTATGTGTATTCAGTTATAAAATTCTGTATTTTCTCAGGTATAAAATTCTGTGTATTATATTATACAATTCTGTATATTCAAAATATGATTTTTTTAAAGAAATTAACAGTAAACACGCAAAAAGATACAAAACAACGTCGTTTTGGTGTGCGCCATTGTGCACGGTATAATTTGCCAACATTGATTGAATGCCCTTAATTTTTTATTTTTGATGGGAGTGTCAAATAAAATCAATAAAGCACATGAAAATCACCAACAATTATAATGTGGATCGCGGTCCATAAAGCTTTGTGCACCATAGTTTAAAAAGAACAGACACTATAGTGTATTTATATTGACACTGTTTCACATATTATTTTTATATTATCAAATGAAACTGCAATTGAATTGAAATGAAACTGTAGTTGTGTTGAAATAAAACTGTAGTGTATACAAAATGAAATTGAATAACAATTTTATATACAATGAAACTGCAATTGAATTGAAATGAAACTGTAGTTGTGTTGAAATGAAACTACAGTGTATACAAAACGAAACTGAATAACAATTTCACATATTTGAGTGTATATTGTCCAGCGAAACTGTAGTTATATCAAAATGATACTGTAGTTGTGTTAAAATGAAAGTGCATTGTATATTTGATACCTGGACAACAATGCATGTGGACCGCGATCCACAGTATAATTGTAACACCCCCTTTTTCTAAATTCTAAAACCCGATAATAATCATTCTTAAATGGGATTAAACAAGGGTAGGTTGGATAAACTAGAATAATAATTCAATTCAATAACTAAGGAGAGTGTCACTGCCACAGTCACCCACTCGCGGGTGACTGCACATGCTAACAAAACTACTAAGTCAAAGAGTCAAACTCAATAAAACGACAGAAAGGGGAAGCAATCCCCGGTGTCTACGCACCAACAACAGTAAAGTAGTTTACTACAACCATCAATAAAATACATCTAAGGGAAAGGGGTACTAGTCTAGCAACCGTGCGTTGCTCTCTCTGTGGCCGAACCGTGCGCTGCTCTCTCTGTTCAGTTTCGGCCTCAAGGCCGAGCCGAACCCAGACAGCTCTCGACATCCCACGAGATTAGTGCCACTCTCGTGCACTACTCTCTCTCGGCCCCAGGCCGAATTAGCAGCCTCCAAGTGGCTTTGTGTTGGAAAAATAATACTAAAAGTTGGCATAACTTACGACATTCGTGCTTGCAGGTGCCAGCATACACGAGTTCAAGCCTTCTC